CTGTAGGTATTAGTTGCCATCCTTCTTCTTAGTATACAATTATATCAGGCCTTGAAACAATTAAAGTGCACTTGTAAAGAAAGGTTTAATAGCATGTATGTCACAAAAGAAAGTAGTACTACTTTAAGCAAATTGAGAGTATTGGTGATTTAACTTTTTTCTTCTTGCTCTAGGGAAATCACAGTTTATGTATTATTGTGGATTGTAAACATTCAGAAGCAGGTGGTAAAACATTCCATAGCTTGGAGGCTGCCACCAAGAAGGTGTGCTTCTGGACTCCAATGTGTGTAATTCCACTCCAGTGTGGACTCAGAGAAGCCACAGGACAGGTTAATTCTGGTCAGGAGAGAAGATCCACTAAGTGCATGCATGCCAAGCCACACAGGCTTTACGTGTTAAAACCAGCACTTAAACCAATGGAGAAACCTCCACTTAGGTATCATACTGCTGAACACTTTTTTCTATCAGCAGTTAGGTTGTTATAGTTAGAACCAATTGCATCTTCAAGCCCAACAATGCCAATTGCATCTTACAACCTAAAAATAGAAGGAGGTGGAAAAGAAAAGTATATTCCAATTCTGAAAGCAGAAATTTTACTATTTTGATGGGAACGTGAACTTTCAGTGAGACAAAGGCAGGAAAGGAAAATAAAATGCAATGATGCTAATATATTTGTTTAAAATTTGCATTTTGAAGTCATCTAATCTGAATAACAGAATGCTCCTGCTGCTTTGAAATAGCAATACTGACTTCATTTGCAGTGTGGTGCTATGGCCCTCTTTCTTTGTGAAATATATTTGATAATATTTGGGATATCTGGTGACCACAATGTATATCCTCCTTTCATGATGGTTAAATAGTTTAGTTTAGTGCTTAGTGTTTGGTTTGTTAGTCTAAGTCAAATGGTTTACAAAATATTAAACCATAAAAGCAATCATTAAGATACATCTATGATGGCTAAAAGCTGCAATAAAAGAAAAAAGAAATGGGAACTTGTGTTTTTCACAACATGAAGAATAGCTTTTTTCTTTTTTGCAATTCTTTCTGATTTAGAACCATTTCTCAGTATGAGGTGTTATATAATACTAAATCACACATTAAGAAAAGGAAAAAGTAAATTGTCTCAGTAAATTGACTCTGATGATTTCATGGACACAGCCATGTCATTTTCTTGGCAACAGCAAAGCTGTTGCTTTCTTCTGGGATGCTTAAGGACTTCCCCATTTATCTACAGACCTGGTGTTCTTTACAGGTCTCCCATCTACAGTAAGTACTAACAAGGCTTAACCTTGCTTAGGTTTTGAACCCAAAGGGGGTCCAGTGCTTTTGATACTTAATTGGTATCAAATATTTGATTTCAAAATCTTCTGTGGAACCGTCATTCATCACAGCAGGGTTCTGTAATTCTGTAAATGTTGGTCTTTTTATTCTTCCTATCTGTACCTGTTCACACAAGGAAACTTCTGTTCAGAGTAAAATGGTCTTCTTAACATAAATATTATCTCTGAGTCAAAATCTATGTTTTTAAAAAGAATTTTAAAAGTGTTTCCCACTTTTTAAAAGAAAAATAGGACATCAAGACTTCAAATCAATGTAAGGTGCAGCATTCTTGATGTAAAGAGATTTGGTAGTGAGGCGCCATGTGCAAGTTCTAATTATTCTCAATTGAATATTGCATTTCTGTGAAGCTATTTTATGTATGATTGGCAGACTTTGATTTTTATTATAAAATGTTAATTTCTAGACTTATTCAAATAGTTGGAAAGGATTTCATGATAACAACTAAAATTTCCAGATTTGCAAAATCCAGGTAAGGTACAAGCAATTTTTAACATAATTACCACTAAAATAAACTATAAGTTTTTTTCATTTGTTTGTTTTTTACATTTTGACCCATGATAACAACACTCACACAAATCCAACTGAATTTAACAGAGAGTGAGGCAGCATTATTCTGCTCCTGGTGAGGAATAACCACAACTTTAAAGTCTTAATCTTCAGCTTTTACACTGATTAAAACAATTACTATCTCATAATTGTCTGCAATTATGAAACATTAATAGATTTTTTAAAAACTTGGGCAAGTGCTTTAAGGAATCACAAGTACTATTATGTGTCAAATTACAGAGGCAAAATTATCTCTTTGTTGGCCTGGGTTTCTCTACTTTCCTCACACTGATCAAGGCAATCTTAAAATAGCCCCACTGTTTAGGTTTTGTCTGCCTTGCAGTCTGTGAAGGAACTTGTTTTGGCCACAGTGTTTGGTGACTGCCAGTTTTAAGGTTGCTTACATTCAGTGAATTCACATGTGATATGCAATAGCAGGTTTTGTGGCAGGGCAGTTCCTCCTGAGACAGAAATTCTTATGTATGTCTTGATTAGTATGCCCAGCTTCACTTTGGAAAATAATGAGATCTCATCCAGCTGTACTGGAATCCATTTTAAACCAAACTTCTGTATTAGGTGATGAACAGAAAACCATCTATTCCCCCATGTCTTCCTTTTCACAGCTTCTTGGAATGACTCCTCTATAGCTAATGCTAATTACCTGGTCCAGTGAAAACTTCCCAGAATCAAGTAGAGAAATCTTCTCCCTTTCATAAACCTTGGCAATTTATGCAAAGTTGTTCATTCCAATAAAGTTTCGCTTGAACTGAACTATGCGTGCAGTCTGTCTTTTTAGCTGCAGTTTTAAGGGAAAAGTCTGCCTATCATCTTTTTCATTTAAGTAACCTTCAAGAGTCTATGCCCCCACCTCTTCCATGCAGAGTTTACCTGCCCCCTCCCTGACTTGGAGTAAATAGTTCTATCATTTATACAGGCAGAATCCTAACCTTGTCTTTCCTTTGACTGCTTTGTCCTTCTGGGTGTGATGTGAGGAAAATCTTTACAGAATGGCATTAATCTTTCCCAACCTTCCATAGAGTGAGGCATGACTGCAGCTCTGTCCATAATATTTTGCATAAAAGTCTGAACTACATCAGACCTGTGTAAAAATGTCACATGAACCATGATAAATAAGTTTCAGGAGCAGTATTGTCCATCTTCTTTCTTTTGAGGATTATTCCCACAGTGGAACTCTAGGAAATCACCTAGTGTTCTTAAAGCAATCTCTAGGAAGAAATTGGGAATAGCAAGCCTCCATTTTATGTCACAGCCTCAGTGTGCTACTGTGGGAAAGCAAAAAAAAGTTAATTGTGGAACATGAAGACATGTTTAATATTACAGGAAAAAAATTCTCTTCTTCCCATTTCTCATCCCTTAACAGTACCCAAATTATTAAAAGTCAATCAATCAATCTCACTCAGTAAAAGCATTAAGAGTACCAGTAATAATAACCTATATATTTTAATCTTAGACAAATAAATCCATTATGCATTTTGACTTATAACTTTCTGTTATAAGTAGAATATACAATATTTATCCCCATAGGCATAACAAATACCAGTAATAGTAACATATATATCTTAAAGTAAATCAAGTAGGTTCCTTTTACATACTAACTTATAACTTTTTCTAACAAATAGAACAGAGAAAGTTTATCCCCATATGAAAAAAATAAATAAATCTTTATCTTACAGTCCTGGTCAAAAAAATGATTGCAATAATAACAGCCTGAAAGCACAACTTATACAATTTAATCCTGATCAAATAAGTCCACTTTGAATTCCTTTTCTTCTTTTTTAGAGGCTTGATCCTCAGTTGCTTCTACAAATAAAGTCCCACATGATGATCTCTTATTACTTTCTCCCTGTCTGTTTTCAGGAACAACTTCAGAAATGTAATACTTCCCTTCTGTGGATCCACAGTAAGATAATTCTCGGAGTCACTCTTCTGATTTTTAATCTGGATGTTCCCTTTAATTGTTAAAACATCAACTAGCATAATTTGTAGGTCAAATGCAGCTTCTTTCATTTTCTTGTAGTCAAACATTTTTAAGCTCCTTTTCAAATCTACAACATCTTTTTCCATCTCTTCCATGTAAGTCAAATATTGCTTGGTTGATTGATCGATTGATTATATGCCATCAAGTCAAGTGCCAATTCTTAAAGACCACATGGATTTTTTCACGATGATCTGTCCCAGTCTGGTCCCTTCAGGTCTTCCAACAGTGCACCCATCACTACTGTAGTTGAGTCCATCTACCTTGTTGCTGGTTGTCCTCTTTTTCTTTTTTCTTCCACATTTTCCAGCATTATAGACTTCTTCAGAGAGCTAGGTCTCCACATAATGTGTCCCAAGTATGATAATTCAAGCGTGGTCATTTATATTTTGAATGAAACTTCTTGATTAATTTGTTTGATGAAGCATTTGTTTGTTTTCTTAGCTATCTATGGTATTCTCAGCCTTCTAAAAAAACAAGAGCTCAAAAGTATCAATATTCTTTCTATCTGGCTTCTTCAAAATGCAACTTTTGTTTCCATAGAGTGTCATAGGGAATACCATTGCTTGCATATTCTGATCTTTGTAGTTATAGACACATCACAGCATCTGAATATTTTTTTCCAAAGTCTTCATTGCTATCCTAGCAAGTGCTGTTCTGTGGTATATTTCTTGATTGCTGGTTCCCTTACCTTTAATAATCAATCCTAAAAGACAGAAACTATCTACCCTTCAATATCTTCATTGTCACTTCTAAGGCTGGTTGCTGTACCTGTTGTCAAATACTAAAATAAATTAAATTGTCAAATACTGCATAAGTCAAATACTACAAACCACTTTGAGCCAGAACTCATTTAAATCTCATTATATAAAAGCCAGTGATGGGAGTGAAATTCATTTGATTCACAACTGATAGAAGTTAACTTAAACCATACTTCTTGAACTAATATGCAGGTATACAGTACAGTATATATTACTGAACTAATATAACAGTAAGTGTAATAATTATATTATTTTGTAATTTAGTTCTCAAATCAAAAAAATCCATACACAGTCCATAAAAATTTGTCCATCTTTAATGTATTATGGGAAATCTCTGATATATATGTGTGTGTGTGTGTGTCTGCACACACACACATGAAATTTGACACACCTAGCAATGTGCATTCCCATGTGCCTTCCCATGTAGCATTAAGAAAAAACTGATGAACAAAGGAATTCATAATAGAAAAAAATGCAATAATAGAAAGTGAAGCAGACATGCTCATACATCCATAGTGAAACAATTTTACAGATTTATTGCACATGTAGAGATGTACATTTAGATTGCCACTGATTCAGACTCTATTTACTCAATAGAAGGGAGTTTGATTAATTTAATGGAATTTGCTTCAAAATGTGTATCTTTAAGACTCTGCAGAATGAACCTGCCTCTAGCATACAAATCTTCAATTGCTGTTTTCTCTTTAACTCTTCAACTACTATTTAATCACTGAGTTGTACTTTAAGCTCAGGTCTAGGTGCAACATTCTTGATTGTGTATTCTTGAGGCTCACTAATTTCTGTGGAAACAAAATAATATCTCCAACATGAATAGCGGCAAGTGTCCAAAATTTAGACTGCATCTTGTTTACACAGCACCAATGTAAAAACATGGTAACTGAATTTGGATGTTGCCACTGTTGCTGCTGGGAAGAGAGCTAAAAATAGCTCCTCACAATTTCTCCTCTATACATGCCTCCCAAAATTTTAATTTTGGTTGTAATAGCCACTGTTTCTATCAACGCTTTTTATTGTAAACTGCCTAAAGAACTTCGGCCAATGGGCAGTTTAAAAAGTTGAATAAATAAATACTGCATATTTTGTATCTTTATCCTGCTCTGAAGAATCACCAAACATCTCTACTAAAAATACCTTTAATTGCACACCATCAGCACAGAGACCATTAAATCATTCTTGATGTAACATAGACCCCTTAGCTCTAAGATTCTACAACAACATGCACAGTTTTTAAAGATCAAATTTTGCATATGAAGACCAGATTTTTTAAAAAATGCACAAAATAAAAATGTATATGTTTATAGAGTTGGTGCTAGTTTTAGCCACATTTGCAATAAATTCATTCTGTCCTCAAAGAGTCTTGACTTAAATAATCTTAACTTGTTCCTTTGAGGTTTACTTCAGATATGATTAAATTTGGCTCCAATCTTTCAGCAAATACAAAGAATACAACTTAAATTTTAATCATATGGAAATGAACAAAAAATGGCCAACCAAAGTTTCTTCTTCCACATAGTAATTAAAGGTAAGAAAGCCTTTTCCTCTGGTTATCCTGGATAGATAAATAACACTGTCTGTCCTTTAAGCTACATCTTATGTTACAATAGAAAGGCCACTGGCAGATGAAGGATGATTGGCCCTGATAACAAGAAGAAGCAGACTTAGCTCAATGATAGAACACAAACTTTCATATAAAAGGTCCAAGTCTACAATCAGCATCTCCAAATATAAACAGATCAAATAGATGTTATGGAACTCACTGGTAAGCTGATTATTGCCACAGATATTACACAGATATTCACAGGCTGGGTGAAGCAAGGATCTGACTCACTTAAAGCGGGAGAAGACAATCTGCTGCCTTGCAAATATTTAGCACTCCAGTATCCGCCAGATCCAGTTAGCATGTTGAATAATGAGGGATTGTGGGAGTTGTCTGCTGCCACTTTAAGGTAATAGTGGTAGAATATAAAGAGGTGCTGGATTCAACCTTCACCAATGTAGGAGAAGCAAATGTAAGTAACAAATTGCAGATGTGCAAGGATTGTCAGGAGACAATGCTTACAGATTGCCTATTGTTTTGATAGTTTATAACTTTGTGGAAGGAAGTCTTATAAACTATGAAAACCTCTGAGATTCATTCAGGAGTATGATATCAATCAAGCTGTTTCA